ATTCTAATGCTAAAACTTGAAACATTAATGTGTAGACCTAGCAGCATGGATCTATGTAAATCCTGCCTTCCCCAAGAGAGATGGGGGAATTAGGAGAAGAAAATACTTGCTTTGAACAAACCTGTGAAGTAGCAGCCATTGCTTCCATTCAGAAACCCTTTGATTCTCCTTCTTTGCAAAAAAACACCCAACTTATTTAGGGAAATTACTTCAGATTTCAGTAAGGAAGAGGATTCAGATTATGTCCCATATTCACATAGAAACTGCCAGCTTTAGGTGCTCCCAAACTAATAACATGCAAAGGTTTTGACAGTAATACTGACCTGCAAAGCTTAGGTGTGCCAATGCACTGGAGACTGCAATGCATTGTACCTTCTATTATCTTTTTTTGTAGGCAATGGGTCCTTTTGGTAAGGTTTCAGTTCAATCCTTAGAAGCTTCCTAGTGTTCCAATGCAATGACTAATGCCTCATGCCTCTGTCTCCCTAACTTTTTAGTCTACTTTCCTCATTTCCATTTCACCTACTTGTGTCTTTACATCTGGGACAGTTTAAACAGCTCATCAATATTCAGTCTCTTGATTATCCAAAACCTACTGTAAAACAGAATGCCAGTGTCAATGCAGAAATTTAGTTTCCTGCAAAAAGGCCCAAGAGTCACACAGTTTGTACACAAAGACACTTTAATGCAAATCAAATATGTTTCATTCTAAGGTGCTCCACATCCGCAGACACTCAACATTGAGCTTCTCAGTTTTACCATTCCCTTGAGAAATTCTTTTTTAGACTAAACAACAGAATATTAAAAAGACATCTCTTTAATGCTTCTCTTCTTTATTTAATCAATACTGTATTTCAATACCAACTGTTAAATCTTTATGAGCAACAGGAGCATATTCTGCAAATTTGTTGATCACTATATAGTACAACCTCAAAACTCGTATCCAAAACCCATGTATTCCAAAATTAGGTTTCCTCCCTCAACATGCAACATTTGCATAAAAAAGTCCTGACTTACTCAAAAAAATTCCACTGCGCAGTTATATAAACTCAGATCTCTTGACACCCACTCTGGCTTATGAAGACACAGGTTTATATAAAGGACCTTCAAGAGAAAATGAAAAACTGATATTATTTTGCTGAAATTTCCAGAGGATTCTAACACATCCATTACCATAGCAGTACACATATAAAGACACTGTCTCCACTATATTGTACTTTGCAATATAATATTTCTGAAAGACTATAATTGTTCTCTGTGCAAGGCTGTGGCATGTTACGCTGTGACTATATCAGAAATTACCATGCATTATTTAATCCTTCATAATTAGGAAAGTACCTGGGTTGAAATTATATTCATTAAAAAAAATAAAATCTTACTTTTGATCAATAAAAAGTGTACATTCTATAAGTGCAGATTGCATTTCATCATTTCTACTGCTTGCTTGTTCAGTTTCAATACCCAGTTTCTGACAACATGCTGCAATGTTTCGACTGCAGAAATGAAGGCTTTATTTGCCCTTAATCAAAGCACTGGTTTAAAAGATGTTGTTTTCTTATCAGCAACACATTTCAAGCAGTCTCAAGTATTTTGAAATTATTCCTCGTTATTCCATCCTAAAGAACCAAAACTTCCATCACTAAATGCTGGCCTTTAAAAATAATCTGAAAACAATGTACAAAATATTTCAAGAGAGCAGAATAGTGATACACTTAAAATCAGCAACACAGACATTTTAAACATTAAAACACTCTTCCTACTTTTTATGTGAGACCTCCAGACACAAAAAGATTGTGCATTTTGCATGGCTTTGTAGCCCTGTATCTTTAAGTGGAAAGGCAGATTTTCAGACATTTCTTATTTAGCTAATAGGAAAATAAATCATGTTGTAAATGTAGTGCTGATGCTGCCTAGATTTTCTTGCTCACATCCATGGTAAGTACCAAACTTCTTGTCCTTATGCTTATACTCAATGTCACTGATGTTGACTGATATATGTCATCTAGTCTTAAAATAACTATCTTGAGAAGCTTGATAAAAACAGTACTGAGCTCCGATGTGCTGTGGATATACTGTTACAGTTTACACAGGAATGTGTCATCTTTGCTCACAGCCAGTAGAAAAATCTTTACCCCAACAGAAAACATGGAATTGCATGTCATTGTGGAAAGAACTGCCACAATTTCTACAAAAATTTCAATCTTTATGCCCAAACCCAGCAGGAACACATCTTCAACTAATCTTCCATAAACACTTTCAGCTGAAATTCACAGGTAAATCCTGTATCCATCTCTGGAGAACATCTTGCAGGAAAGGTAAGATGGAGAGAGCGAGCAGATAAAGTTAAAGGTGCGATACATGGCATGCAGTTTCTCTGTGCACTGTGTGCATTTTAGGGGAGGGGAGGTCTCTGTGAAGCTGCATGCAAAACAGTTTAAAGATGGAGCAGAAGTTACTCCAGCAATTGGTCCCCTCTGTGCCTCACCCACCGCAAGGGTTGGCTGCTGCAACCTGTGAAATGACTCTGCCAGACAGGGGCACAGCATTATTTCCAGCATATCCAGATGAAGCACCTCAGTTTGAAGTTGCAAAGGAGGATTTTTCCTTACCTTGGCTATTTGATGCAAAAGATACTGGTATCAGGCAGCTGGCTGCATAATAGAGAGTCGTGTTACCAATCTCTCCTCAGAGGGAAAGAAGAAATGACTTCACATCAGACTATTACGGATATTAATACTTTTGTCAAAAGCAGAAACACACAGATTTTACAAAATACTGTCTAGACACTGTAGCACACTGACTAAAAGAAATCATTTGAGTACAAGCTTAATAAGGCAGGGTAAAAAATCTGACACCTTACAGCTAATGACACTTTGAAAATGAGTCTGCTGTGTGTGATATCACCGATGCCTGAGGGAGACAAAGCTCTTTCTGTTCATGTTTTTCATACCTTCAGTCAAACAGATTGCTGAATAATCTTGTTTTCTTTATTTTAATGGGTGAGGAAGCTTTTATACAGAAGGAGTTTCCATATGTCACAGTTAATAAAGGCAATTCTTACTAATAAGAATAGGTTGTCTCCACTCAGTTATCTGATGAAAAGCCCTCCTGTTGTGAGCAAAAAGCAGATTCTGTGGCTAGAAGAGACTCCTAGGGCTGCACACTTCAGTTGATGCTGGAAAGAACTGTAAGCAGATGAATCCCAAGTCTTCTCCAATTGAGTCCCAATCAATGACATTCACTAGGGTGCTCAGGGCACTAGAAGCACTTCATGTCATAATCTTGACTTTATATTCCACCCTTTACTTGCTGGTGAAAGACAGTGGACAAGACCTGGATCCATCACTCCTGAAAATCATCAGCAAGTCCCTTTCTTTTTTAAAGAAGCATCTGGGTCCCTGTCTCAAGAGCTCAAAATCCTACACAGAGAGTATGGCTAGTTATAGAATGAGATCACAGACGCTCTTTCTGGTTGAAACCGTAAATCATTTGTGGGGGGTGGTCATAATTCTGGGGGAGATCACTTAGACGTATGAACTACTGATATCTTTGTCTTTCTAACCACAGAGCTGAGCATGTGTCCACAACTGGATGAAAGCCTTGCATCAATACTATATTATTATAGCTATCTAGTAAAGAGATAGGAAAAAAAAGTCTTGAAGCTCATCTCAGCTTACTGTCATGTATTTAGTGTCTGACTACCTCTTAAAAAGCTATATGGAAACCAAACATATTGAAGGACACTACTGGCCTCAGATAATCAACATATCCCAACTATGTTTACAAAGCAGTGCTACACATTGGTGGCTCGATTTCCAAGTAGGGCAGAGATTGTTCACCTGTAAGTACCTGAGTAGAAAAAAAGACCTGCCTCTGTTGCCATTCCCACTTTCAAAGGGACTGACAGTTTCCTACAAGTAGTTTCAAAAGGCACATCATCTCTCCATGGTAAGTATCCACCTGTAGCTGTAGCCTTACAGTTAGGAAATTCAAAGCATTCTGCAAGACATCTTTTTATCTAGACTTATCCAAATGTAGGAATTATTTTGTGGAGAGACATAGGAAATACTCTACTTCTTCACATTTTCCTGGGAATGGCATTCTGCTGGTTTTCACTATTCAGAATACACTTCAAGAAATGCAAAAAATACCCAAAGAAAGAGGTGGATGCTTGCAAATATATAAACAGGACCAGTTCCTACACATGCAACTATCCCAGCTGAGTGTTCACTGCCACACATAATGCTTTCCAGGATTTCAACCAGGGCTAATATGGCCAGCATTCTGAAAATTGGCCACTAATTATGGGCACTTCCTAATTTGGTCTAAGTTTCAGAACTGCTAAACAACTTCTTGTCCTCATTGCAGGGTCTGGATGCTCAGCAGTTCAGAAAATCAGACCTGAAGTGACTCAAGCCAATACTGAAAAATATGAACACCCAAGGTCTGCAGCTGGTTTTGAAAATGCAAGCCCCCCCCCAGGCTAAATCCCACTTTAAAGATACTATAATAGTTTTGAAAGCTGCATATTCTTGTATCAAGCCACTAGAAGGCATAGACAAATGTGGTGGGTGGACTCTGCATCCATACTCCTTCAGTGTAGTCAGTGCAAACAGCCCCTCCCTGACCAGCCAGGGCTGATGACTGGGAATGGAGGGAACAGCAAGACAATCCGGGATAGGCCTGCACAGGGAAACCAGAAGTAGCCCTTGCAGAGATGAGGGAAAACAAGGGCTGCTCTTGGATCCTGCCCAAAACACAGAACCCATCCACAATCTGTCCATACATTGCTTCTGTCTTGAAGATGTGGAAGGTCCCGTTGTATCTGCATTCACAATTATTCAACATTACTCTGACATGATTATGCTGCTGATTCTGTTATATCTTCAGTGCATGATGGTTCCTGGCTCTGATCGTGCCTGCCTATTGTTCATGAGAGACTTTGTCTTGGCAATGATCGGAGAACAAGGTGTTCTGGAGGCTCTTTTCAGCTGTGATCTGGTGAACTTCTTACGGATTTTTCTGCATGGAGGAAAGGAGAAAAGGAGGGAGAGACAACAGAAGAGATAAATCTCAGTCTTTAACAGAAGACTGCTCAAGAGCCAATAACATACATAAGCAAATGCTCTTACCAGACCAGGAAGGCTATTTCATGGAAAAGACACTTGCAGTCAACAAGAGTGAGCCCTGTCCATCAACTGATGATTCGCAGTTGTCTCCAACTAGTAACTGATAATTGCTCAGTGAAAAATGAGTTGTCACTAGATTATATTTAGATGGTAACATTTAAGTACAACAAATCTTGGGCCAGAACACTCAAACGAAGAGTCCTCACATGAGATATCAATACAGGAATGAAGGACCACAGAAGAAAGAACGTCATTAGCACTCAAGTGAATGTGTTACCTCTGTAAAAGTGATGGACTGTGAGGAAGTTTTACTTGCACTGTATCAAATCTGCAGATAATGGATGACTCAAATCTCTACTACTGCCTTTCAGGTGCAGTAAACTCACTTCAGTGTTAGACTTTTAGATGATAAATCAAACGTATTTACTGCAGGCAACCATGTTGTTTGTATTGTAATCTCATACATCCAAGGATAGTTAATTCTAAAATAAAAAGCTTTCTTATGTTCCAACTGCTCTGTCTCTCGTATTACAAATCAATAACCACAATGCTGAAAGAGTATCAGAAAAAACAGAACTGACACATGTCAAGAACCATTATCATTGGCAGAGTCCCAAATATTAGATGTTACTGGAAAATTATATGTTTTCTCAATTCACTCAAGTCCAGAATCCCAGCTTTCCTTTAGGCAGTTTTATACATTACACAGGATTTGAGTTTATGGATATGAATCAAAGCAATTTTGGACCTGTAATACTAAATGAGAACAGGCTTCCTAGCTCAAACTTTCCAAGTTTGAAAATGCTACAAACTACTGGGTGGTGATGCATCTGGCTGCATCAAGGCTTTGAGATGGTAATTCAAGAAATTATTTGTCTCTTTCATCTTAATGGGCTGTGAACTCTGAAACTGAAAAATGGTGGCATGTAACATTGAAAACACAGCATAATCTTAAACTAAATTCTATTGGAATACTAAAATTATAATTTGCATATTAAATTTCAAACACCTATTTAGTTAATGGTTGAGTATTCCCCAGGAATGTAAGCTCCCAGTTGAATAACTGAGCCACAGAAGAGAGCATAATCAATGACAAAGCAAAAAGCCCCAAATCAGGAGACTATACTGTGCTCTCAGAGGTTAAAGAAAGCCTGGAAAACACATCTATTTTGGTTAATATAATTTAAAAGTTTAGGAAAGTCTTAATTTTGGCTGCCTGAAAGAAGAATGCTATCAGCAGTTCATGGCCTGGAATACCAAATTAGGATTTAGCATCTTTCAGTATTAAGCACAGCAAAAGAAAAGGAAATTAATATCCAGAAAGTTAATTTTTTTGCACAGTCCCACAGAGACACACACTTACTGTTTGAGTACTTCCTTCACATGGTCATCCTAACTTAGGCTTAAAAAAATATTCAACCGATTGATAAGATACCTTCCAGAATGGTAAAATCATAAAAATGCAACATGTAACTGGCAGAAATATTTACTTCTAAAATTATAAGACAGCTAGGTTTTTTAAATTAATGTGAATAGACAACAGCTGTTACCCACACTGATTATTAATGGGGATCATTCCAGCAGAAGCTTACAGAGCTGGATCCCTTTTGATATATTTGCAAAACTTTGTATTTATTTACAGAGTGAAGGTGGTCGTTAATCACTTGAGAAGCCCATGGCTTACAAAAATGTTAGATAATAGTTTGCCCTTTGGAATTTTTAATATGGCAACTTCATGAACTGTCTTTCAGCTGACACTAAATGTAACGAAAGTAAAGTACTTCTGATTACAATTTGTGATTACTGTGAAAGGCAAGTAAAGTCAAAAGATGTAGATATTCTCATTAAAAACCGATTCAAAACTAACATGAGAAAATAATAAAAAAGTAGTAATCAGCATTAAATCAAGCAAACCACAAAAACTTCATCGCTTCCCTTAGTAGAAACGAAAGTAGCTGTCAGAAGAACTAATCTGGTATGCACTTCAATTTAAACAGGATTGTGAACATGCTTCCAGAAATTAGCTTACTGGGATATAGCCTTTCAGAAATAAAACTGGAAGAATGGAAATTTCCACTGACTTCCTTAAACATAATATTTAAACAACCTTTTCACTAAAAGCCAGAGCCGTTCTTTTTACTGCAAACAACACAGAGGGTGAAGGGAACTCATTGTGGAGGGAACAGTAAAAGTTTTTGGAGGCACTGATCAGGTTTTATAATGCTTTGGAGGTTTTTTTTTAACACTTAAACATGCAGGTTGTAATAGTAGTTGATGAAAGGCAGGAAATTCAAAGATAAAGTTGTCAGTTGCCCTTTCACTCTGAGCACTTCACCACACTCTCTCCTCCCTCCCCCAACGATACAGTGAATTAAGGCCAGAGTCACCTTTAATGTTCAATTTCCTGTCCCTTTTTCAGTTAATACTAGCCATATGTTTTAATTACATAAAGCTCTAATTTGGTGATGGCAAGTAAATGGCTTTAATATCTGTAGCATTGATAACATCCTTGGCAGCTGTTATGAAAGAGTAATTGCCATTTCCCCTTGCTTATTTCCTTTTACTTTTTTACAAGGCTTGAAGTACAGACTTAATTTGAAATGTGAATTTAAAAGCATTTTAAAGCCTTTGCACTGTATTTCTAGTCTTCCTGAGACCAAAGGTAGGAGATTGAATCAAACTTTTAATAGGTGATTGGTATATAAAGCCCACTGTGCTCATTTTTACATCAAATGTTATGCACTGCTGCTAATGTAGGAACAGGACAAACTCTTTCATGTCTGCATCACACTTCAAAGAGTAACTGCAGTTAAAGGTACATAAGACCCCTGGCACTTATTCAGGAAAATATGGAAATGTACGTAAGTACTGCACACTATGAAGACCTATCTTCTCTTTGCAAGTTCCATACACAGCCTGGCACCTACTGGGTAGAAATAATAGTTAGGCGGTATAAGGTATGTATGTCGTGCCTAAATTTAATCAGGCATAGCACTTCAATGAACCAACCCTTTCTTAGGACCTAAGTGAATTCCATGTGGTGAAGTTAAGCACAATCCTATGTACCACATCTGTTATGCCCAGATTTCTCAGGAAGAGGATAGCTGGTAACAAAATTTCTCACTGGAAAAAAGTCAACTCAAAGATCTCTGCTCTCATTATGCCATGCATAAAAAGAGCAGCACTTTTTAAACCTGAATAATGAAAGGTAGCCCTCAGTGGCTGTTAGTCAAGAATGTGTTTTTCAAGCCTTTTCTTACAGAAGTTCAAGGCGTTACTTGCTTTAGCTCTGTTGACATCGGGCGTATCTCTCTGCTACTGCTTCTATATATAAACTGCTGTGCATCACACTTGCATCCTCTGCATTAGACTCAGAGTTGTGATGTCTAGTGTGACTTCAGTCTGTTCTAACAGTACCTAAGAAGTAACACTAAACAAATTCAAGTTATGGCAGAAGATTTTAGTGTAAAGGGACATTAATTGCACGTAGAGGCCCACTGAAATTTTACCAGATTAAAAACCTTGTTTCAAAAGTGAACAGAAAGAAACATTTTCCTAAGGAGATGAATGGTGCCACAGACTTTTGAGATGTCTGTAATTCTTAAATACCAAGGTCCATAAATGCTTTTGATGTTCTCTTTCCACCAAAAATCAATTAAGGACCTAGAACAAACCTAGCTACAGAGTTTTATATTGAGGGGCACAGCACTGTGTTTCGTGCTGTACTGAAATTAGTTTGGTATTTTGGCCCCAGTCTTTCTGAGACTGATGCCATTTAAGCAACATCCTTATATCCAAAGACCTAATGCTGTGCAAATGTGTTATTACCCAACTGCTGCTCGCAGCACAAGGAATGTGCACAGGTCAGCAGCTAATTATTCCCTGAACAATCATAGCTGAATTCCACCTAATCTCAATTGCAAAGAGCAATTTCAATGTGCCAGGTGCACAAAATACTGCCAACCCTGGAAGAAGGTGGAGTTTTAAACATTAAGTACAGCAAGGTGGGATTTTGCATTCTGGCACGAGTTTCATGTGAAATTTGCCATCAGTCTAACCAATGAGACATTCAGAGAGAAAAACTAAACCAAATTTAAAAAAAAAAAAAAAAAAGACTGCTAAACAAAGATTTGTGAAGCTGCTGCTGCTTCAGGGCAATGTAAATTTTGTGCAATGTAAATTTTCAGTGCAAGCTCAAGGCCAGTTAGCAAAAACAACTGTTTAAAAAATAAGCAGCATTCCTTGGGCTTTATTAGACCTAATTATCACTCATTTCTCTGAGGGCTTCTTGTATCTAGAGGTACACTATAACTGTTCAGTGGGTTAAATTACAAGAGGAGGTACTATACTAGGAGACCAATGGGCTTTTTATTAATTTCAACGGGCTTTTAAACAAAGTGAGAGGTCAAAATGTGCAATGCTGAGTCTGCTCAAAGAGAATGTGACTGGGATGAAGCTGTAGGCACAGATCCTTAGAAACCTGACAGGTAACACAGAGACTGAATGGCTAACAGCACTTCCTATATTTCTACCTGCATGGAAATGAGAGTTTTATTTAACTGTCTATTTGGCTTGCTGCTTTAAATGACCTTTTTTGGTTTTCTTTTTCTTTGTTTTTCTCTCAGCATTCTGAGCCCATATTCCAGCAAAGTTTTAATCTAACCTCAAAATGACAGAAATTAGGACAAACAAATTTGGAGAGCATAAATGGCTTGATATGCCTTTAAAAATAAGCCCTTTTGTGAAATAGTCATTTATAAAACAAATCAAAAAAGTTTTAATAACGATCGAACTACCAGAAAACAGTTGCCATGAGCCACTTAGTCGCATTATAAAAGTCCTACAGATGGCAGATAGAATAGCACAGCCTTTGTGAGATTAAAGAGGTTTTTC